GGCCTGACGAACCTTTTTCTGAGTTTGTTCATTGGTTAATTACTGCAGCAGGGAGAATATTTGGCAGTGCTGATGCAGGCACCGATTTTGTTAAACAATTGGCATACAAAAATGCTAATGCTGCCTGTCAAGCAACAATCAGACCATATAGAAAAAAGACAGATTTATCAGGATATATTTGCCTATGTTCTGATATTGGATCGGCATACCAACAGGGATTTGCTATGGCCACTGCCCTTCAAGGGTATACTGTCCGCCAATTTCTTAACCGTAACAATAGAGGCAATTCCTTCAATTGTGGTCGGCCCAGACATGTGGCAAAAAATTGCAGGACAAAAAATATTGGTGGTCAGAAACAAAATCAACCTCTTGAATTGTGCAATAAATGCCAAAGGGGATGAACTAGTCCCCATCCCTACTTTTGACCACATTCCCGGTAGATCCAAACATGCTATTCAGTTCCTCCCTACTCTTGCCACCTTGGGCATCACTGCAGCTATAGCTGCCAGCTCCACTGGATTAGGATACTCTCTATACCTTAAAGAAATTACTGAGGGCCTTATCGCTGATGTCCGAGAGTTGGCTTCCACAGTTACATTTATTCAGGACCAATTGGATTCCCTTGCAGAGGTAGTACTCCGAAATAGGCGTGGATTAGACCTCCTCTTGGCAGAACGGGGTGGGGGGGGGTCTTTGTCTTGCTTTGCAAGAACGCTGCTGCTTTTATGCCAACAAGTGTGGCATCATTCGTGACAAGTTCAACCAACTACAAGAAAATCTTCTTGAACGAAAGAAACAACTCACCGATAACCCCTTCTTTACTGCATGAAATGGACTCCTCCTCTTTTTTCTCCCCATACTTGGTCCGATTCTGGATGTACTGATTGTTTGCTCTTTGGGGCCTGTTCTCTTTAATAAGCTCATGGCTTTCCTTAAATGCCAAATTGATGACTCCATAGAAATGCAGCCTCTCCAAGTCCACTAACACAACCTGGAGATGGAATATCATGAAGCCTAGACATTGCTCCTGCCTAAGGCACTGAATCAGTTAGCCAAAGGCGGGTAAGAGAGTCTGAGCCTATAACAGCTGTACAGTCTTCCCACCTAAGACAGGAAACCCATCATCCCAATGAAGTTCTCCAATGACAGGTAAGGATGGACGTAGCTCTGAAAATGACTCCAACATAAGACAGGCATGATTCTCCCAGGCTGTCCTCCTCTTGGAAAAAATTAAAAAGGGGGATATGTGGAGGGCATTGCATATGGAAGCCATCTTGAGAGCTGTCCACCATCTTAGAAACCGTTAGGTTTCACTTCCTCATTGAGCAAACCGGTTCTCAGAAATCATGTGACCAATCGTTCTCCCCGGGGTGGTTGGGTTTCTAGGCAACGGGAGAGATCCACCCACATCAATGATTGGCTCATACTGTTCTATCTCATTTGCATTTTGGGCAACCAATTGGTGCCCACCACCCTGTATATAAGCTCGTAATTCTTCCTTAATAAACGAAACTTGATCAGCACCTTGTTTTGTCTACACTGTGTGTGTTTGTCCCTTCTCTCACTCCCCCAGGAAACTGTTCAACTGTCCAGTGGGCTGGGACAATGTGGCACATACAAGTATGAAATATATGCTGCAGAAAAATGATTAATATGTGCCTTACTGGCGGTCACGACCTCCCCACGAGAACATGCCTCTCACAAAGGACTTCCTTCATTCCCTGTCCAAAAGAGAAGAGGAAACACAAGAAGCACCTGGTGCAGAGCCCAAATTCCTGCTTCATGGACATGAAGTGCCCAGGATGCTATAAAATCACCACAGTCTTTAGCCATGCAAACAGTAGTTCTGTGTGTTGTCTGTTCCACTTTCCTCTGCTAGCCTACAGGAGGAAAAGCAAGGCTTACAGAAGGATGTTCCTTCAGGAGGAAGAAGCACTAAAAGCATCCTAACTCAAGATGAGTGGGAAACCATCCTAATAAACACATTTTGGATTAAAAAAAAATTAATATGTAATTATGAGAGAACTGTGTGATAAGAATGTATATAAATTCCCAATTTTCAATCTATTTATTTTCTTCTTTTTTAAAAAATTAATGTCTCAAGTAGGATTCCTCCATGTAATGTTTGAAGATCCCATATTGAATTATTCTGAAGAGGATTAATGGTATAAAAATGAAACTAAGTCAAATTTCTCCAGCTCTCAAAAAGAAACTTAAAAAAAAATGATCAGGTAAAAGTATCTAAACCAGTAAAAGCGGACCAGCAGTTAGCGTAATGGCTATGTCACTGGACTCCCATGTAGTTGACCACAGTTCGCGTCCCAGACCCGGTGGCTTAAACTCACGCCAGGCGCGTGTGCGTGCATGCCCAAGATCCCGAGAGGAGAATGGAAGAGAAGGGATTGCGGCGTGGCCATCCATCCTGGGGGGTGATTTCTCGCTTTCTATCTCTCTGTCTCTGTCTGGCAAGCGCATGTGCCCTATAGCAAAAACCTCTCAAAAAAAAAAAAAAACAGTAAAAATCATATAAAAAGTATGATTTAGAGGAAAAGAGTAAGTTCTGAATTTTGTATTAAATGAAATGCATAGTCACAATCAGACCATATAGAAAAAAGACAGATTTATCAGGATATATTTGCCTATGTTCTGATATTGGATCGGCATACCAACAGGGATTTGCTATGGCCACTGCCCTTCAAGGGTATACTGTCCGCCAATTTCTTAACCGTAACAATAGAGGCAATTCCTTCAATTGTGGTCGGCCCAGACATGTGGCAAAAAATTGCAGGACAAAAAATATTGGTGGTCAGAAACAAAATCAACCTCTTGAATTGTGCAATAAATGCCAAAGGGGATGAACCAGTCCCCATCCCTACTTTTGACCACATTCCCGGTAGATCCAAACATGCTATTCAGTTCCTCCCTACTCTTGCCACCTTGGGCATCACTGCAGCTATAGCTGCCAGCTCCACTGGATTAGGATACTCTCTATACCTTAAAGAAATTACTGAGGGCCTTATCGCTGATGTCCGAGAGTTGGCTTCCACAGTTACATTTATTCAGGACCAATTGGATTCCCTTGCAGAGGTAGTACTCCGAAATAGGCGTGGATTAGACCTCCTCCTGGCAGAACGGGGTGGGGGGGGGTCTTTGTCTTGCTTTGCAAGAACGCTGCTGCTTTTATGCCAACAAGTGTGGCATCATTCGTGACAAGTTCAACCAACTACAAGAAAATCTTCTTGAACGAAAGAAACAACTCACCGATAACCCCTTCTTTACTGCATGAAATGGACTCCTCCTCTTTTTTCTCCCCATACTTGGTCCGATTCTGGATGTACTGATTGTTTGCTCTTTGGGGCCTGTTCTCTTTAATAAGCTCATGGCTTTCCTTAAATGCCAAATTGATGACTCCATAGAAATGCAGCCTCTCCAAGTCCACTAACACAACCTGGAGATGGAATATCATGAAGCCTAGACATTGCTCCTGCCTAAGGCACTGAATCAGTTAGCCAAAGGCGGGTAAGAGAGTCTGAGCCTATAACAGCTGTACAGTCTTCCCACCTAAGACAGGAAACCCATCATCCCAATGAAGTTCTCCAATGACAGGTAAGGATGGACGTAGCTCTGAAAATGACTCCAACATAAGACAGGCATGATTCTCCCAGGCTGTCCTCCTCTTGGAAAAAATTAAAAAGGGGGATATGTGGAGGGCATTGCATATGGAAGCCATCTTGAGAGCTGTCCACCATCTTAGCAACCGTTAGGTTTCACTTCCTCATTGAGCAAACCGGTTCTCAGAAATCATGTGACCAATCGTTCTCCCCGGGGTGGTTGGGTTTCTAGGCAACGGGAGAGATCCACCCACATCAATGATTGGCTCATACTGTTCTATCTCATTTGCATTTTGGGCAACCAATTGGTGCCCACCACCCTGTATATAAGCTCGTAATTCTTCCTTAATAAACGAAACTTGATCAGCACCTTGTTTTGTCTACACTGTGTGTGTTTGTCCCTTCTCTCACTCCCCCAGGAAACTGTTCAACTGTCCAGTGGGCTGGGACAATGTGGCACATACAAGTATGAAATATATGCTGCAGAAAAATGATTAATATGTGCCTTACTGGCGGTCACGACCTCCCCACGAGAACATGCCTCTCACAAAGGACTTCCTTCATTCCCTGTCCAAAAGAGAAGAGGAAACACAAGAAGCACCTGGTGCAGAGCCCAAATTCCTGCTTCATGGACATGAAGTGCCCAGGATGCTATAAAATCACCACAGTCTTTAGCCATGCAAACAGTAGTTCTGTGTGTTGTCTGTTCCACTTTCCTCTGCTAGCCTACAGGAGGAAAAGCAAGGCTTACAGAAGGATGTTCCTTCAGGAGGAAGAAGCACTAAAAGCATCCTAACTCAAGATGAGTGGGAAACCATCCTAATAAACACATTTTGGATTAAAAAAAAATTAATATGTAATTATGAGAGAACTGTGTGATAAGAATGTATATAAATTCCCAATTTTCAATCTATTTATTTTCTTCTTTTTTAAAAAATTAATGTCTCAAGTAGGATTCCTCCATGTAATGTTTGAAGATCCCATATTGAATTATTCTGAAGAGGATTAATGGTATAAAAATGAAACTAAGTCAAATTTCTCCAGCTCTCAAAAAGAAACTTAAAAAAAAATGATCAGGTAAAAGTATCTAAACCAGTAAAAGCGGACCAGCAGTTAGCGTAATGGCTATGTCACTGGACTCCCATGTAGTTGACCACAGTTCGCGTCCCAGACCCGGTGGCTTAAACTCACGCCAGGCGCGTGTGCGTGCATGCCCAAGATCCCGAGAGGAGAATGGAAGAGAAGGGATTGCGGCGTGGCCATCCATCCTGGGGGGTGATTTCTCGCTTTCTATCTCTCTGTCTCTGTCTGGCAAGCGCATGTGCCCTATAGCAAAAACCTCTCAAAAAAAAAAAAAAACAGTAAAAATCATATAAAAAGTATGATTTAGAGGAAAAGAGTAAGTTCTGAATTTTGTATTAAATGAAATGCATAGTCTTCAATAGGTCTTTAGCTATCAAGGTGTCAGGCTGAGGGGATGTAGACAATTTTTACTTACATCTTCATGTAGCTATACTGGGTGTGGGACAGAGTCTACTTGAGCACAGTAACTGAGGTATATCCTATGGGAAGGTGTAGTGATTAGCTTTGAAGGAGCTGCTGGGACCCTTTGAACTGACAGTGAGAATGGCAAATCTAGTGGACAATGGAGGCTATGGCTGGCTCTTAAATATTGCTCACTAACCTATTCACTTGTTTCCAGTTTGCACCTGTGCTTAAGATTTCTCATCTGGGGGACTAGCAGTTGGCGTAATGAGTATGTTGCTGGACTCCCATGTAGTTGACCGTGGTTCGAGTCCCGGACCCAGTGGCTTAAATTCACTCCAGGCACGTGTGTGTGCATGCTCAAGATCCTGAAAGGAGAATGGAGGAGAAGGGATTGCAGCGTAGCCATCCCCCCCCCCCCCCGGGGGGGGGGTGATTTCTTGTTTTCTGTCTCTCTGTCTCTGTCTTTCTGGCAAGCACATGCGTCTGTAGCAAAAAACCTCTTAAAAAAGAAAGAAAGAAAGAAAGAAAAACGATTTCTCATCTGGGGACCAGCAGTTGGCATAATGGCGATGTCACTGGACTCGCATGTAGTCGACTGCAGTTCAAGTCCCAGACCTGGTGGCTTAAACTCACATCAGGTGTGTGTGCATGTATGCCCAGGATCCCAAGAGGAGAATGGAGGAGGATTGCAGCATGGCTATCCCCCTGGGGATGATTTCTCACTTTCTATCTGTCTGTCTCCTTCTGTCTCTCTGGCAAGTGCAGGCGCCCTATAGCAAAAAAAAAAAAAAAAAAATCTCCAAAAAAAATTTTTTTTCTCATCTGACAATACTTTGGTTAGTTATTTTAGAGAAGAGATACAACCTTTTAGCACAATGCCCAGGATATTAAGAGTCGTTTGTCTAGAACTGGGATTGGCATGGTTAAGAGTTTAACAAGGGAACTTATAAGCAGAAGCAAGGTCTTGTTTGGCTACAAGATGAGAAGATCTTCCTACTCTCCTCCCCTCAAAACATTTTTACAGTTTGTGTGCAAGAAAATTTTCTAAAGGGGAATATATGCAGAGAGGCATCTGAGTGTATAGAGCGGTTTTGTGTGGCAATACCAGATCTTAATGATGATCAAGTACTTACCATTCCCTGGATGAGGACATATGCCTATTTTCTATAACAACTGAGGTTATGTTCCAGCCTTGGGAGTGCAGACAAGAACCCTAGGGTACTAGGTACTAGATGCACAAGGTCAGGTCAGTCAAGATGGCAGATTATCTCCAAGGCAGAGTCACTATGGTTCCGCCATGACTTTGGATGCCATGAGGATGACCACAAAAGAAATGCTCATTTGTGTTCAGTGCAGATTCGTGTACAGTCTGAATTATATGCTAATAGTAGTTTCATTACTGAATAATACATTGCCTTTATCATGTGGGTATTATTTTGTGGGTAGATGGTCAAATTAGTTTTGTTCAACTGGATTGATATTTGGGTTAACAAACTGAGTTATATGACTTTCCCACTTAATAGAATTGATTTTAAAGATCAAAATGCAGCAAATTAGAGTCTGGATACTCTTTAGGAAAAGATCAAACCCAGGGAAACAATCAGCCTCAGCCTTGGACTCAGGGTAAAAACTCACCATCCAAATGCAGTACTTCAGTGATGTCCTTAATGAGAAGTGACTGCATGTTGTACCCAAATTCTCCATAAAGATTACTTGACTTAGTAGCCTGTTATAGCTTCATCTGTACATCCCAGTTTCTGAAATGTAAACATTTTCCCACAGCTACCTGGAACATACAGGTTTTCAGCCAGTAAGGCTTTGGATCTGAAATGTAAATATTCTCTCTCAGCTGGTTGGGACAGGTTCTTAGCCAGCAAGACACTGAATCTGAAATATAAATATTCTCCCACAGCTGGCTGGGATAGTCAGGTTCTTAGCCAGCAAAGCTTTGAAACTTTTGGTCCTGCAATGCAGTAGCCTCCACTTCTCCCACCTCTGGGAAGATTCAGCAAGAGTAAATGTGGTCAGCATCATGTTCACAGGTTTGTGTGAAGGCTAGTTTTAAAACTGGCCTAAAAGTCCCCTTTTGTTCCTGTGTTTTCCTTTAGAATACTTACTGAAAGAGGCCAAACAAGACCAGCCATCTCTCACTAGAATTCAAAGGAGGATTCTGACTTAAGCCTTTAAGAAGAACCCATTCCCTGATGTCACTACCAGAAAAAAAACTAGCTAAACACACATTCAAGAACGAGAATTCGAGTAAGTTCTACATCTGTGACACCAAATAGGCCCTATCTTAAAGTGACATTGTCCTCAGAAGTATTACATATATGGAGTGGTAAACAACTGGCATTGCAAAAGTTTTTTTTTTTTCTTTTTTTCTAGAGGGCACATGCACTCTGGATTGACACAGACAGAGATGGGTGGGAGAAGAGAAAACACCCTCCCATGGGGTATGGTCATGCCAGTCACTTCTTCCATTTGTCACTCCCTTCAGGATTCTGGGCCCACACAACACATACCCAGCATGCTTCTCAACCCACTGAGTCTGGAATTCACACCATAGGGTCAGCCATATGTGATCCAGCTTACCCACTAAGCCACAGAGCCAGCCCTGCAAGTAGCATTCTTGCAAAGGAAGAATTTTCAAACTGAATTGTGATCGATCTACATGGAACCACTAGGAGTAAAAATGGAGAAAATGTAAAAGTTAATATCTATTGTGAAGACACTGATAGGTTTTCTACAGCCTACACAGTGTTATTTAGGGACAGATAATTCTTTCTTGGGAGGATCTGTGCATGGAAGACTAGTTTTCAGCATCCTGGGCTTCTATCAAGTAGGTACTCTGATAATCTCCCCTTCTCCATTTGGGATGAGAAAAAAATTTACAGATATAGTAAAATATCCTCCAATTGAGGGACAAAATCACTCCACTGAGTACCTTTTTCTACATAAGATATAAGCATAGTGACTTTTAGGACATCTTAAGTGCCAGGTTTTTAACTTCAGTTGAACATGTCTTAACCATTAGCCTACAGAGCCAGCCCCACATAGTTTTTAAATCACTAAGGAAGCACATTCATAGGCTTATTGCACAGAAATTCTCAAAAATACATATGAACCCTCTACTGTATTTATGCACATGTACAAATTATAAATTCTTATACACACATCAGTAAAGAGATGAATGTCAACCTGGGTCAAGAGACCTTGTTTGCTGATCCACTGTTGAAATTACAGGGAGGATTCAAGAGCATATACCTTTTCAGCCAGTTTTATTGCGTCCAATATTGATGGCTAAGTGTATTATGACCTCAATATATTGGTTTGTCAAAAAAGTCATGAGTATTTTTCTGTTTTCCTATGCAAAACTGTGTCGTGACTTTTCCAATGACCCAATATTTATGCATGTTTATGTATGCACATAAGCATATGCATACATGTACATACATATATCTACATACATAGTAATCAATGAACCAGAGTTATTAATTTCATACACACACACACACACACACACACACACACACAAAAGGACTTCAAAAAATTTGTGGAAAAATAGAATTCAAGTATAAGTTTATTTTGGTACAAAACATTTTTAAATCCATGCACTTCTTTAAATTTTTTTATTATATTTTTAATGCTTCCAGAGATAGTGCACATTCACCAGAGAGAGGCAGAGAGAAAGGGAGAAAGCACTCCCTCAATAGGGTGTGGTCACAACACAACCCCTTCAACATCTTCTCCATTTCTCCATCCAGTTAGAATATTAGGCATGTGAGGCTGGCAGATAGCATGGTGGTTAAGGGTGCTGGACTCCCACATACCTGATAGCAATTCAAGTCCCAGACCTGGGGGCTTGCTTTCTTACTTTCTCTCTCTCTCTCTGGTCAAACTAAAATAAATAAAGTTAAATAAAATAATTCTTTTTTAAAAAAAGAATTTTAGGCATGCAGACACATCTGCCAGTGTGTTTTTCAAGCTGCCAGAGTCAAGATTTTTAACCATAGTTGACCATGTGGGGTCCAATTCTCTTAACCACCAAAGAGTCAGCCCCACATAGTTTTTTAAATTTTAAATACAGATCTTCCACAACCATTTGGAAGACCCCTTCATAAATAAAATTTTCCTGGAGACCAGCAGGTGTTGTGGTGGTTAAGGCACTGGACACTCCCACATGGCTGACCACAGTTCGAGTCCTGGACCTGGTGGCTTGCTAGCTCTGTGTGTGTGTGTGTGTGTGTGTGTGTGTGTGTGTGTGTGTGTGTGTGGTCAAATTTAAAAGGACATAAGAAAGTGGAAAGTCACCCCATGTTCCTGGATTGGCAGAATATAATCAAAATCGAAATCCTACCCAAATTAATCTACATATTTAATGCAATCCCTATAAAATTACAAGAGAGATTCTTCACACATCTAGAAAAGACAATCATGGAATTTGTCTGGAATCATAAAAGACCTTGTATTGCCAAAGTCATTCTGCACAAGAAGAGTGGAGGGGGTGGCATCTCACTTCCTGACCCCAAAATATACTACAAAGCTGTGATAATCAAAACAGCAAGGTACTGGCACAAAAAAACAGACATAAGAACCAATGGAACAGTGTAGAAACCCCAGAAATAAACCCCAAAACATACAGCCAACTCATCTTTGACAAAGGGTACCAGTCAATCCAGTGGGAAAAGGAAAACTTCTTTAGCAAATGGTGCTGGAAAAACTGGATATCCACCTGCACAAAGATGAATCTGAACCCCTATCTGTCACCACTATTAAAAATCAACTCAAAGCAAATCAAAGATCTAAACCTAAGACCGCAAACTATAAAACACTGGGGAAACTCTGGGAGACACTGGGGTAGGCAAAGACTTAAGACAGCCACAGGCAATAATCCCTAAAATAGACAGGTGGGATTACATCAGATTAACAAATTTCTTCACAGCAAAGGACACCATAATTAGTGTGAATCGACAACCCTCAAAATGGGAGAGAATTTTTGTTAAATGTGCCTCAGAAAAGGGATTGATAACCAGGATACACGGGGAACTCTAGTGGCTTACCCAGAAGAAAATGATTAACCCAATTAAAAGATGGGAAAATGAGTTGAATGAACAACTCTCTAAGGAAGACGTACAAACAGCCAAAAAGCATATGAAAAAATGTTCAACATCCCTCATCATAAAACAGATGCAGATCAAAACCACAATGAGATACCACCTAACCCCAGTCAGAACGGCAAAGATTAAAAAATAATAATAATAATTAAGTACTGGAAGGGATGTGGTGAAAGGGGAACACTCCTATATTGTAGGTGGGAATGTAAATTGGTTCAGCCACTGTGGAGAACAATATTGAGGTTCCTCAAAGACCTTCAGACAGAATTACCATATGATCCAGCAATTTCACTCCTAGTATCTACCCAAAAGACAGGAGAATGCTTAGTCAGAAAAGTGTTTGCACAACTATATTTATTGCAGCATTATTGCTAAGACATGGAACCAATCTAAATGTCCACAAATAGATGAAGATTGAAAAAGTATGGCACATATGCTCCATGGAATACTGTTCAGCCATAAAAATCAAGGCCTTGGAATTTAATAGAAAGTGGACAAATATGGAAGATTTGTTGCTGAGTGAAGCAAGTCAGGCTATGGAAGAGAGAAACTGTATGTCTCTACTTAACATATACCAACTATTCAAGGCCTTGGAATTTAATAGAAAGTGGACAAATATGGAAGATTTGTTGCTGAGTGAAGCAAGTCAGGCTATGGAAGAGAGAAACTGTATGTCTCTACTTAACATATACCAACTATCCACACTCTATAGTAGAGATGGAAAGACTGGAGGACATAAAAGCATTAAAAATTGTTATGGACACTAGAGACAAAGTAGAAGGAGACTGTGGGAGGGGAAGAGCATAGGAAAGGAAATTTGGGGAAAGAATAGAGGTAAGACATTCGTGGGACACAAATATGGTTTATTATCTGTCGACGATGTATAACATTCTCAACTGGGCTGGTAAATGATGTATAGCAATTGAATGTATAAATAATAAAAATTAAAATTAAAAAATTATCCTGTGATATGGCTTATGCTAATAGCCTCTTTGCTTTACGGAGTATGAGAAGTGGAGTTAATAGAATCACACATGTCCTATTTTATCTATGTCTCCCCTTTCTTCACTTAGCTGTGGTCTCAGAATCAAAAATCTCTGTACCATGAGCAGAGCAGAAGGGAGCCTCTGATCTTCTTGGAATATGGCCCAAATGGACGCCCAGAACTGACTGTTCAGCAGCACTGAATAAACCTGTCCACTTTTCCAGATAGGTCTCATCATTTTTCCTCCTCTATTTCTTTTAACAGCAACCAAACATGTCTACCTGATCTTCTTCTAACCCATGAGTTCTTTGTTCCTTGTGATCCCTTCAGGGTCTAAGTAAGCCAAGAACCAAGTGTCATGGTCATGCAGCCCACAGAAGCTGTGCAGGAAGGAGAAAGCTCTGATGCCCCTCTGACACTAATGAATCACTGGCCAATATTGCCAATTCTGGAAGAGGACTTCTCAGATACTCAGACTCCTTTCTGGTACCAATACCAAGAAAATTGCCAAAATCACAAAGAACAAACTGACACCAGAATACTACAATTAGAGAGCCATTCTCAACCTTATCATGAGCACAAAGAACAAGTGTCAGGAGTTGGGTCAGATTGACATATCTTACATCATGCAATGGTGGGACAAGGGCTGCAGGGCTCTGATTGCAGAATGGAATTCTCTCAAAAGGACACACTGGGACAGACTGATGACAGCAGCAGGCACAGTCAGTTGGAGAGCCATCTTATCCACTTGGAAAACCACACCAACATATGCAGAAATCTCAAGTCTTTGGGTCAACTCCTATTCACAGATATTCGGTAAAAGGTAGAAGCTTTTCTGCATCCTGATCTGCAGAGATGAATAGGAAGATTTTCACATGCTACAAAGCTTCCAAGAGACTGAGACCAGCAGAAAGAAGATATTTCATGACCGTTGTCCAGGCCTTTCTTCTGATACAGAATCAGTACTATTTTTTTTTTTTAAGATTTTTGCCACAGGGCGTGTGCAGTCACCAGAGAGAGGGATTTTTGCCACAGGGCATGTGCAGTCACCAGAGAGAGGGAAAGTGAAAAACTACCCCACCCCCACCCCCAGGGGGATAGCCACACCAAAATCTCTTCTCCAATCCCCTCTAGGGATTTTGAGCATGCACACAAATGTACCTGGCATAATTTTCAATCTGCCAGGTTCAGAACTCAGTACAACTTAAAGGATAATGAACAGTAAGGAAATTTCATCCTAGAGCAAGATTACTGCAGGGATAAGCTAGTTGGAAGCCCAAATAAAAGTTTTTCTGCAGTGGTTATCACCTACATTCATTTCACTGAGTAAAGAATTGTTTTTTGCCACTTACCATTCATAATGCAGATCTTTTTTTTTTTCTCCATCCAGAAGAACTATTACAGTAATGTTCTAAAGGCCTGTTAGTTGTAAAATGGAACCACTTCATTGGTTCTAACAATAGCCAAATGTTAGTTCTAGTTTTGATACCTAAATGATTTTGCATACATAATCAAAGAAAATACTTGCTGACAACACTCAGATACAAAGTTACGTTTATTTTCAATAATGAAAACAATACGACAAAGTGGAATCAATCCACTAATTATCAACCCTAACACAATCCTTAGCACATACGTATGCACAATAAATAAACACATTACTATTAATGAAAGCTGTTCTTGAGACACTTGGGTATTGTGTTTGTTTTAAATAAAACTGAACAGCAAAGAAATACATGTTAGAGATTTGACTGAGAAGGGATGAAAGAAAAGCCAAGAAAGTAGGGTCCCCAAATATTCAGTTAACAAAGGGACTAAAGGATTTTCAAAGAAGTCTGGAAATCAGAATTCACTATGAATACAAGAGTTTGGGACAGGCCATGTTGAAGGCTTTGTAATTAAATCTTCCCATAGTTCTAGATTTTTGACTTGAAATCTGCCATAATCCAGAGGAGCTTCTGCTAAATAAAGTACAGGAAGGTCTTTATTCATGCTGCCTGAAAAGACGTATGTCTTCTAATGTTCCTCCTTCGTCACTAGCTCCTGTTACCAACACATCAGAGGTTCTATCCCAGCAAAGGTTTATTCCGGGCTACTATGTAGACCACCTGCTCTCTGGTTTAGATTTTCTTTTCATAAACACACTGATATTTGCCAGGGGCAGCTATAGATATATCCATTTTTAAAAAATGTTTATCCTCCTACACAACTCTGCTTGTCTGCAAAATCTAGGAACAACAGCAGTATTGGTCAGAAGATAAGTGATAGTTCAATGCAAGGACTCTCTGAAGTTCAATGGTCATGAAATTTTTAACTGCTTTGTCACCCATTTCATTATCTTGGCAATTATTTCTTTCGAAATTCAATCCTCCGAGCTACATTCTGAGCTCCAAATTTTTTGATCAATGCATCTCTGGTACCCTCATCATCTTTTTGCAAATCTAGATCATCTTGCCGAGACCAAATGGGGTATCCATCAGCTCTCTGACCAGATTCTAAAAAGGAAGAAGTAGCCTCCAGCTCACCACTATTTTTTAGGAAGGCCTGTGTAACTGTTGATAGATCCAAGTTAAATTTCTCCATTAACTGGCGGATGATCTTTATGGCAGCTCCCACTTCTGGTGTAGAAATTTTTTCTTCTTCCTCCTCCTCCTCAGGTTGTGTTTCTGAGTCTTCTTCAGGTGTGGGTGGATCATCATCACACATTGTTATATGTATTTCAAAATCAGGGCTCTCTTCCACCTAGAGAACGATGAGTAAGACCAGTTCCTAAGTACAGCGTCTTTAACTCTTGCAATATCTGGTCCTTCCCAGCTACCACCCTCTTGTCCTTTGAATTTCAAAAGCATTGGACTTTCTTCAGCTCCTCTCTTTTGCCATGTATCATCTCATATTTATTCATGCTGGATGTGTGTATTTACACATATGTATGTTTATGTGGGAGAGAGGGGGAGTATGTGTAGACATGTATATACAATTGACTATGGTAACAGAATACTAGAAGCTATACTGACATGGAAAGTATGTGTGTGTGTGTCTATATATATACATATGTGTACATGTGTTCATTAGATTTTTGTTAAATACTTGATCTCACTCCCAGATTGTAAGCCTTTATGGAGTTACATAAGTGTAGGAATCCTATTTTGCTCATTACTGCATATTCAGTACATACCAATGCCTATATATAGAAGTATTAAGGGGCCAGCAGGTGGTATGATGGTTAAGGGCACTGGACTCCCACATGGCTAATCATGGTTCAAGTCCCGGACCCCATGGCTTGCTTACTCATTTTCTCTCTCTCTCTCTCTCTCTGTTCCTCTCTGGTCAGAGTAAAATAAATAAAGTTAAATAAAAAACTAATTTTTTTTTTAAAAGCACTCAAAAACCATCGATACATGAATTTATTAGGGCTTCCAAGCTATATTATGTACATTAATATCCTACATTTAGGTACCTTATTAAATAAGAAGCGATCCATGTAGGTCTTATTTGATATCTGATGAGAATGCTGGACAGTTTAAGAAAAGTTCATTCACGAGATCCTTTTTTCTTGAAGATACAAATAAATAAGTATATAAAATTGAACTTTTTCTTTTACGGTTTTTGCCATAGGGCATGTGTGTTCACCAGAGAGAGACAGAGACAGTAAGAAGGAAAGTGAGAAATCATCCCCCTAGGGGAGATGGCCACACCACACACAATCTCTTCTCCTCCATTCTCTTCCTAGGATATTGGGTACAGACACACACACGCTTAGTTTCAAGCAGCCAGGTCTGGGACTCAAACTGCAATCGGTCATGTGGGAGAACACTTGACCACTATGCCACCTGCTAGCCCCTTGATTTTTTTTTTTAATGATTCATCATCATTTTATGGCTTCCACCTTTCTTGATAACTATTATTAAAGATGAAATTCCAACACAGTATTAACAGCTAGACTAAATATAAAAGAGCTTAAAACATTCCCCCAAAGATACAAGCACACAAAAAGCTAAACCTGCTTGATAAAAAATTACTATATGCTGTTATTAAATTACATTTATATTCCTGAGAATAAAAATATTTTTAAAACATAAAGCCACAGCCCTAACTTTAAAAAACTTCTATCAAAATAAAAGTACTCAAAGTGGGATGCTTTATAACTATTTAAACGTAAGTGTCCCTAATCTGCCTGATTTTTCTCCTTCTCGTCCTCAAGTTGCCCTGCCAAAAACTAAAAGCTTTGTAAAACGAAGCTTCAGGGTAATATGTCTAAAGCCCAGACCAATCCTTCTTTATATGTCCCTCTTTTCTCCTGAACTTCTCTCTTATCTTCCTGGGCCTCAGGTGGGTGAAAAAGATAGGTGGGATAAGGAGTTTCAAAGAATGAAGACAGTGAAAAATGAGTAAATGTAGTTAACATACCACAACTTCTTGAAAGTCCCGGGTGGCTTCCACAAGCATCTTTCTGACTGCTGCTTCATTCTCCTTGATCTCTTCTTTCACATATTCTTCTTCAGGCAAGTCTGGAGTTCTCTTATTCTGCGGTTCTATTACAGAGGAGAAAAGCACAGATTAACATTAACCTCTTTTTGGATAAACCAAACACAGTGCACATTGTGTGAGCCCTGGGCTAGTAGTGAGCCTGCACTTATTATTTTCTATTAGAAGACATCTGTTTTGGAATCAAAACGGTAAGAAAATCGTAAGACATGTTTGTTTAATGTTTCCTTGGGGAAAACTGTACTATCTATATAGTGATAATATTTCAAGGCTGACATATAAAAAGTAATTCTTTTTTTTTTTTCTTAGTATACACAGATTTTGCAAAGTAACAAAAATGTATGACAAATTAGATTCTCTGGGAAGTAGATTCTAAGACAGAGATCAATACTTAATTGGGCCAGTTGGTACTGTGTTGGCTAAGGCCTCTGTATCTCACATGGCCAACTACATGATTTGAGTCTCAGACCCAGCAACTTGAAAAATATACTAGGCACATAAATAAAATCCCAGAGGAAGAAATTGAGAAGGAATTGTGATGTAACCATCCCCACGAGGTGTGCTTTCTCTCTCTGTCTTTGGTAAGTAGATGCACCATCTGGCAAAGTAAAAGAAAAAAAAAAATTAAAGTAGAGGGTACTCTTGGGAAAACACTTGTGGAAAGCAGATAGAAAAGTAAGAGTTCTAACAAAGCCTCTGCTAAAACCATATAAGGAACTTTCAAGCTAGGAAGGCTCTTCAAACTTGATCAAGTTGGAGCAAAGAGGCAGAGCCTTTATAATTCCTCACAATAATTAATTAGATGCTGGCAATCCTAAGAAGATAGGATTTGGGGTAAAGCAACTCTCTCAATAACAGAAGGCGGACCTGGGTAGTACACTATAATCCACTACACACCCTCTACAAAAGTGCCTCTTAAATGTCCTGTTTTCTCTTTACATTTCTCTGAGAATTTAACTGTTTATCTTCTATTTACTAAAATGTACTAAAAAGGGGCAGCAAGAAGTAATTTTTTGTGATGGAGTTGTTCCATATCCTGATTTTGGTGGTACTTACACAAATTCATTCACTAAATAAGAATAAAATTTTGCACATACTACAACATAGATGAACCCTGAAGATAAACTAAATTAGGGAACAGCAGTTGGCATAATGGCTATTTCGCTGGACTCCCATGTAGTTGACCGCAATTCGTGTCCCGGACCTGGTGGCTTAAAACTCAAGCTGGGTGCGTGTGTGTGCGTGCCCAAGATCCCGAGAGGAGAATGAAGGAGAAGGGACTGCGACGTGGCCATCCCCCCTGGGGGTGATTTCTCGCTTTCTGTCTCTCTGTCTCTGTCTGTCTGGCGAGCGCACGCGCCCTATAACAAAAAAACTCTCAAAAAAAAAATATATATATATAAACTAAATTAAATAAGCTAGACACAAAAAGGAGTATTGTGTCTGATTCCGTTTACATGAGGTACCTAAGAAATTAAACGCATAGATTAAACGCATAAATTAAGTGGCATGGTGGATACCAGGGGAAGGGGGAATGAGAAGTTAAGGGTTTCATGGGTACATAGCTTTGATTCTGGAATATGAGTACGTATTAGAGATGCACACTGATGAAAGCAACAAGCCATAAACTATCATGGGTGAAGCCAGGTGATAGGTACATGTATGATAGTATAGTTTGTTACACTATTCTATTTTTTTGTTGTTACTTTTCTGGATTTTTTTGTTTTTAAGAGAGATTTATGCAATAGGGCGCATGTGTTCACCAGATAAACAGAGACTCCCAAAGCAAGAAATATCCCTCTGGGGATATAGCCATGCTGCAATCCTTTCTCTTCCAGTCTCCTCAGGATTTTGGGCATATGCACACATCGTTGAGTCTTAAGCCACCAGGTCCAGGCCTTGAACTGCGGTCGACTATGTGAGAGTCCAGTGACGTAACTGTTACACCATCTGCTGGTCCCAACACTGTACTATTTTTTTAAATATTTGAAATTTTCTATAAAAAAAGTAGATGAATTATGGTTCATCCACATGATGGAATGCAATAGATGAGAAAACAATAAAGCAGACGCACACAGACTTCAAGTTAAAAAAATATATATAAACTGGGGCCAGCAGGTGATGGGCCAGCAGGTGGCGTGATGGTTAAGGTTCTGGACTCCTACATGATGGTTCCAGCCTCAGATCTGGCAACTTGAAAATCACACCAGACATATATGCATGCCTGCCCAAAATCCCAGAGAATAGAGAATAGATTGTGGCGTGGCTATCCCCTCCTAGAGGCATGATTTCTCACCTTCTCTCTCACTGACTCTGGCTCTCTTGGGCAAGCATGCATATAAAAAAAAAAAAAAAAGTAAACTACAAAACTTATATCTAATTTGTGCTATATTAATACTATTATGGCTGGGGCCGGGGGGAACTAGGGATCAGATATATGTAGTGGGGAGACTGACTTTTCATTTTTACTATGTACTCTTTTATACTCTGAACATTTCTGTAGGATTAATTCCCAGAAGTAAAACTGCCATATTTAAGGGATCATATATTTTAAATGTTGTCAGATAGTGTCAAGTGCCCCCCAGAGAAATTGTATTGATTTCTATTGACAATGGAGGTACTGTTTTCCTATACCTCATTAACTTCAGATAGTACCCATTTTGTTAATTTTTGCCAGTCATGAAAAAATTGACATTTCCTTGCTCTGATTTACTTTTTTAGAATTAACATCTGGGGCCAGCAGACAGTGTAGCAGTTACATTGCTGTACTCTCACACAGTCAACCTCAGTTCAAGTCCCAGACCCAGTGGCTTGAAAATCACACAGGGCGTGTGTAAGTACGTGCCCAAAATCCTGTAAGGCGAAAGGAGAAGGGATTGTGGAGCAGCCATCCCCCCAGCAGGTGATTTTCTCACTTTTCCTCTCATTGTGTGTCTCTCTTTCTCTCTCTCCAGTGAGGGCATGCACTCAAGGCAAAAACCTTCTTAATAATAATAATAATAATAATAATAATAATAATAAAAACAGCAACACAGACATTTATTATCTCAGTTTTCATCAGAAGTTCAGGCATGGTTTATACTGCTCCTCTGCTCAGGGTCGAAGTTTCTGTATTTGTTTATTGGCTATTCACTTATGTCCATTCCTGGTAACTTGGTTAACTTTCT